TTTTTATTTATGAGACAAGTTCATTAGTTGAAATTTTCATAGGGGTAGAGAGAAAATGAGAATTCAAATCTTGATTATATGAGTTTCAAAAATACTTTTATTTCGATAATAATTTAACTAATTATTGTAAGTATTTTCTTCAATGTAAGAATGATTTATAGAGTGCATTTAAATAATTTTAGGGAAAAATATATATTAATCTTGACTCTAAAAAATAATTAGAGTCTCAACTTTAAATTACATTGTTTTATTTAATTAAAATTCAATTTAAAATTTAAAAAATTATCTTTTAAATGTTGATATATTAAAATTTATATTAGATTTTCAAATTTAGATATCAACAATTACTAAGATGAGATTTCAGTTTCTAGAACTCTAATTATTTTTAAGAATCAAGATTCATGAGCACTAATCTCATATCTTTATATATATATATATATATTTACACTTTTTTTTCTTATAGGTTAACTTAAAAAATAATTTTCTATACTCTAATAATAAATAATTTATATATAAATTAGAGTATATCTTATATTTCATTTAAATGATTTTGACTATAAAAAAGGTATAAAAGGTATGATTAATTTTAAGATGTTGGAGACTTGAGAAAAACATGATTAATTAGTCAATTTTTGATTATATCAACACCACCAACTTGAGTCTAACATTTATGAAGAAGCCTCTGCGGTTCAAGTGGCCACTTAACCATTGGTTAAAAGACATTTTATTTTGAGTGTGAGGTTTAATTCTCATCCCTTCTCGCATTCTTTCGTTGTAGTTGTGGTCGTTGCTGTCCAAAAAGATAGTCGATGAACTGCACCCTTATTCAGGTTCAATACTTTTCGTTAACAATTTTAACATTACTAACTTTTAAGTCTTTAACTATTACCCTTGTCAAAAAAAAAAAAAATTTATGAAAACATTAACGGTCCGTTTGGGATTTGGGAACGCAAATTTATTACAGTGTATTTGAATTTTAATCTTTTAAATTTAATATCACTATTTATTTTTATTTAAATAAAATATAATTGAATTTAGATGAGATAGTATTTCACCAAGGTAATTCAAAAGAATAAAAATAATGTATTTCAATTTTACTCTTAAACCCATGAATTTCAATTTTAAAATGGATTTCCTCTGCTCTCTCTCCTCTCACCGACGGCGATGAAGTCTCCGTCTACCGCTGCTCTCCACCTTCTCATTGTCGGTCACTCAAACCACTCCTCGACCTGCACTCTTCAATCCCGAGTCCTTCGACTGGGCGAATTTCGACGCCCAGCAGGTGGCTTCGGCCAGCGTCGACTCCACGTGTACGGTGTGGGATGTGGAGAGACAAGCAGTGGACATGCAATTAGTTGCGCATGATAAGGAAGCGTATGATATTTCGTGGGGCTTTCCGACGAGTAATATAGTCGTGCCGTGCACGGGTTCTATGGCTTTCCGACCCAGAAATTGCTCACGTGTTTGCAATGCCAGTGCGTCTTGTAGATAAACTTTCCGAAAGAGAAGCCGATAGTAAGGCCAAAATGGAGATAAAAATGCCTTGAGTAGTGCATGAATATTTAGTTAATAATTTTTTATAATATAATATGAATG